CCTAGTTTTCCCGCCGTTTGTACTTTCTATTCCCCCACTAACTGTCCCTGGGTCTTCGAGGATGAAGACAACCCAGGCCACCGCTTTTAAATCAGAAAAAGAAGCGACTGAGAAGGTGAAAAATTTCCAAACAGGAAAATTAGAGAAAAATAATAGTAATCACCTGAGCAAGTTTAAAGATATGCTTGACTCGATCGACGATCTTCAAAGTGCCATTCTGGAATAAGACAAAAAATATATTTCATAGCTCACTAAATCTGCACATATTTTTTGTGTAAAAGTTTTATTGTAACTAACGTGACAGCTTGCGTGACATTAATCCTGAGGCGATTCACATCCATTGGCTAAAAAAACTATAGATGATTGGAAGGTCTTAGAAAAGAGACGAGGTGCAAAAGAGTTGTACAATGTTTAGTTTGACTCCACTTAAGACATAAAATAACAGAACACACAATTTTGCCTTCCCCAAATTCGCAATTAGCCAATCAGAAGCCATGTCCACTGTCCTGACATCCTGCGATATCAAGTCACTGGCTACGACATCACGGTCACTTGGCCGAATTTGGGTACGGTTCGTTTGGTATCGCCACGGTTAGGCTTGCGCAAGTTTGAGAGATTTTTCAAATATCACTGTAGTGCAAATCATAAATTGGACTCGCATTCATACGATTACCTATTCTTATATCCCTTCCGTAGCTTGTTAAAAAGATACCGAAGTCTTAGTGCAAAAATAAAGGGGGCTGGAGGGAGGGGGGGCAGACGTCAAACGTAAATTTACCGGAAGCCATTCTCCTATATCTCCCGTGTGAAGCCAGCCATCCTTGTCAATAGTCTCAGCGGTCTTCTCAGGAGCCTTCAAATACCCTATGAAGACGTTTGGCCCCTTTAAACACACCTAAGAGAAATTGAGATACAAAAGTGAATACCATAAAATTTTAGAAGTATTTACCTTTGATGCGCTAACACTTAGGTTATTTAGCAGACTTTTAGAGGTCATTTTGCTATATTTAGAGGGTCGCAACTTACTGGTGTTGCTTCTTTCGGGTAGCTACAACAGTTGGGCCCCGCTAATACAAACTCGGTTATTTAGAGTTCCACGTTATGTCAAACTCAAAACTATTTCCCTTGGATTTGCCTCTCAGTAATTTACTATTTCGGCTATTTCGAATTCCCGCTATTTCGAACCATATATTTCTCGTTTCCTCTGAGAGTTCGAAATAGCGGGGTTTTGAGCTGTATTTGAACCATACATATGTGGACCCATCTTAAATGTTTTGAATAAAAGTTCGTGGAGCAGTCCGTTTTGTACCTACTCGTAGGAAAAAGGTAAAACCTGTCACAATAAATGATTTTTTGAAACATTTTAAGACATAATTACTATATGCAGTATAGACAATCCAAAAACGTGGCCAATTTATTACTGGTACACTAGATCAGGACGGAGCCCCTCAATTCAATTATCCCTGTTAAAGACCATACTTACTTCCCCTCTTCCATCTTTTGAGTAACATTCCTTTTCTGGGATATCGACTAACTTAACCAGATTACAGGGAAGCGGGGCACCAACATGACCTGTAAATACAAAGCTCTTGTTAATGTTGTTTGGTCTGTGGCGATGAAACTTAAAGTAAGTAGAAAGCAGCAAGCAAATCTTAAGTATACGCAATTTATAAAATTCAATTAAAATTGAAAGGACTCGGCAGTTTAAAAACGATTTTCCTAAACAAAACAAATTGAACAGTACAATGGTGCAATAAGCACCAAAGAAAACTAATATAGGCGAAAACCAAGAACCACAGAAAAGAACCCTCCCAAGAAACTAATGAGAGATGTCGTGGCGGCAAAAATAACGAGACAAGAAAGAGATTGTATAGCGGATAAAAGGGTAAAATACTTCCAGTTCTTTGGAAGTCGTATTGCGTTTCGTTTTAGCCTCAATTTTGTTTGGATGTTTGAAATAGAGAAGAAATCCTTCCATTTTGTGTCTTTTGAGTCAAATGAAGCAAAAATAAATTTGCAAAAGATGTTAAATATACGAATTTGACCTCCCCCCTAAAGAGGTTGTACTGTATTGTAAGATTTTTAGTCACCTGTTGACGTATCTGTCAGCCAAGTTATAGTTGCTCCTGCAGCATTCTCAGTTTGTCCGTAACCCTCTACAACCTGTAAAGTAAAGAGAACTTCTTGACTTCAGCTGAACTCTCTGAATTGAGAATCTGTTCTTCCTGATTTTAAAAGACTCCATATACAGCTTGCAGAAAATCAAAACAAAATGATGTATTTTATAGTGAAAACTGACAATGACTTTATCAAGAAATGGCGAAAATGATAAACTGTAGTGAGGTCACACACTATTTATTACATGGCTAGNTTGCTTACCTTGTCGTACACTCTGGTAAGTAGTCGAGGAACTGACGGGAAAATTGTTGGTCTGAGAAAAATAGTGAGATTACTCAGATCATATGTCATCACGTCACATTACTGACATCTCATCATATCACATTCCAACACGTCACGTCACGTCACGTTACATCACGTCACGTCACATCAAATCAGTTTATAACTACATCATAAACTGAAACATGTCATCACTTCACTTTACGTTACATTTCGTCACATCACATTACGTCACGAACATCTCATTAACATCACGTCACATAACATTGCATTGTACCTCACCACACTGCACCGCATCCCATCACATAGTATCACATCACGTCACATCACATCGCATCACATTACATCACATCACTTCACATTACATCACATCACATCACGTCACATCGAATCAGGTCACATCACACACAGCAAACCATATCACACATTATTTCATCTCAAGTACGTCACGCAAATTAATGTTGAGGAATTTCAATATTATGGAAGTAGAAAGCATACTTCAGCTCTTGAATGTCGCTCAATAGGAGTTTCACGTCACCTTGGTAGAAACCAATACGCACTCCATTAAAAAAGCACAGCGCCTGAAATTTAAAACAAAAAGAAACAAGAGGTAGCAAGCAGTCAGTGAACAATAGGGACCTTCAGCAATGACGACTGCGAAGCCGAGATCGACGCCTTGTGAAAAATGGATTTAAATTTTACCTTCGAATGTCGCAATACATCTGTTCAGTACGCCTATCGGTCTAAAAACTTTCTCAGGTTAAATATGCAACGACAGCGTTAAATTCCAAAGGAAGATATGAAAAATTAGCCAGTGCGGTTCACGTTCTTCAAAATACGTAGAACTTGGTCATTTCACGTTGTTGTTTCATAGATGAGAAATGCATCAAGACTGAAAACGCACGCGCAGAACCATTGGTCTGGTCATTAAACCTTTTGTTTGGTGACGTTCTCGTTGGCGTCGCCGTAGTGGTCTGCTTAAGCTCCATAATGATCCTGCCACGGGTATAATTTGAATCAGATTGATCAAGTGGGCTAAAGATACACACCAAAAATTAAAGGAGCAATGTCACGATTTTTAAGTCATTTTTAATTACTTTCAAATTGAATCTCAGGATGATAATTTCCTAAGGCAGAATGCCAAAGAATGACACCAAAATTGTAATAAAAGACCAAAACTAAAGAGGATGACCACGACTGAGAAAGACTTAGACAATTGGCATCCGTGTGTATCAGTTTTATTATAAACCTCACTGACCCTTACTCGGTCCGTCTTCATACCCTGTTAATAGGGCCGTTTAATAAAAGCACAACGGCAATGGGGGAACGTTGAGAACAAAGGGTTTAATGCGTAGAACAATGGCTGTGTACGTGCGTTGTAATTCCTGGTAAATTTCGTTGCCATCCTCTGCAAAACAACGATGTGAAATGACCAAATTCTGCGTTGTCTGGAGAACGGGAACCACGACGGCTAATGTTTTAAATTTCAAATTCATCGCTGTTTCCCAGATTCAGTTTCGTGATAACTTTGAGTTGACATTGAGAAACAAACTAAGTGACGCTAGCGTATAGCAAGATTCGTAGGCAAAATATATATTCATTTTTTAATCAACCTTGTCCTCGGCTTCGCCGTCGTGTTTTCTTAAACTCCCTAATGGTGATCATAGCACGTCATTTGGCTCCATCGACTGGATTACAGAACCATGTCAAGGCAGTACTGAACCTCGAAACCCTTATCCCGTTTCAGAACTGAGCCAAATTCGATATCCCACTCCAGACCTCTAAATTTAATTAGTACACGGCTCTAATATATGACCGCAGCTCACCAGAGACGGCTTCCATCTGCATAAACATTTGAAACTAAATAAACTGCAAAAAGGGTTCCTATAAACAAATTCTCAATGCTAAGCCAGAGTGAAAAACATACCCTGTTTCAGACCAAAATGATCAAAATCTACACACTTTTTCAGACCGAAACCGCTCAAACATCACACCACTTGGGGCCATACATATCTCTATAGCACATTTAAAGAGAGTACTCCCCCCCCCCCCTCGGACCTATGCTAGTCTCTACTATACCTGAGCTATTCTCTCATACATGTGAGCGAGCGGAAGATAAGAGATTATACAATCATTTTCATTCAGCTGAATTCCTGCTGCCTGTGATAACAATAAAACAACGACAACAACAACAATGAAACAACAACAACGACTTTTTTTATATAACCGAGAGAAAACATAAGTAAAAATACAATAATTTTGAAACTCACTAATGTGGTACTAGCCGGCCTAGAATAACCATGGGGTTAAAAATAATTTTAGTCGAACCTCTCTACAATGCAACGGCCACCTTGGGGACATACAGCGCCCTGGGACAGAGGAAAGTGGCCGTTGAAGAGAGATGGCCGTCATAGGAAAACGGGGTTTCGGGGGGGAGGGAGTAAAATATTTTAATTCCTTTTTTTTTAGCGCTTTTTGTAGCATGTAAATCATACCTAACACAATCAAAACATATCAGTAAAACAAAAACCAAACAAAAGCAGAGATCAACGATGTGCGGCACGTAGACAAATTTTCATGACCTACAATAAAAATTGGAGTTTTGCACACACCGTTCGTCAGTTGTTGATTAAGTGACCGTTGTCGAGAGGTTATTTTAGCAGTTGGGAAGCGCTTTAGCGGCTGTTGCCGTTGTAGAGAGGTTAAACTCAGAGTAAATGTACGGACCGTCCGCCATGACAAAAAAACGTGGCCGTTTTAGAGAAGTGGTCGTTGCTAAGCGGTCGGTGGCCGTTAGTGCGGTTCCGACTACAGGCAGCTATCTACAAAATGTAGGTGATAAAGTCATGGTGTCACATGTATTCCTCTTACTAGCTATATGTCTATGACTTCTTACTAAGGACGCTGTTTCGGATACTTTAGTGGTTTTATTTTTGGTGGTGTGGATCCCTCAGTCATCTTTGTGGGTTCTAAAATTATTCTCTTTCGAAGGATCTCTACTTGCGGGAAATCGTTGCTTTCGCAACTTAGGATCTTATCCCATGTTGTTGCAAAACGTTATTGCAACAACAATCACATCAAATACACTGGTTTTCAATCGAGTGACGTAAAACCAAAACCGAACCATTTAGACAACTCAGCCAATCTCAAATCGTGATAAAAACCAAATTAATTGTCTGATTACTTTCGACACTCAATTGAAACTCTCTCTAAGTAGCAGGTCTAAGAAGAAATTAACAAAGAAAGAAAAACAATTTTCAGAGCAGAAAACACAGTAGAAAAGTAAATATTCTAGCAACTGTTCTAGTTCTAAAATACAAACCTCATATTGCATTTGGATAGCAGCCATCTCTGAATTCATGTTGGCGTTGGTCATCATGGCACCTTTAGGCGTTCCTTTATGTTGAAGAGCAAAAATAAATAAAAAGACTAGCATTACCAGATATTCAAACTACATATATAGAAATCATAACAAAATATTTTAAGAGGAGGTCTCCAATCCTAGTGGTGGTTTTCAGGAGAGTTCTCTAAAAGTAAAAGTCTAAAATACGGTGTGACCAAAAAAGCTAAAAACTTAAGACTACGACTAAGTCTTAAACTAGAACTAAGATTGAAAATACTACTAACTAAACTGTCCATCTATCTTCCTTACTCCTCCCCTCCAGGGTAAAAGCGGGGGCGTTTAGGGACTGGGAACAGGGGTCCGTTTCTCGAANATAACATGGACAACAAACCACGAACTTTAAAAATTTAGGCTAAATTTTTCAAGATGGGCAAATTGTGACATAGCACCAGAAAAATAGTGATATAAAATAGTTAAAGATAAAAAAACATACGGCGTGGAGGGTGACTGGGAACCCGACTGGAGTAAAGGACAAAATCAATGCTGATCATAATGTGTCCACACTAAGTCGGAGAAATTTTAAAACGCAGCTTAATTTCTACGGTTAGGCCTACCGTCCACACTAATCCGTCACGAAAACAGAGCTTTTCGGAAACGCTCTTCAAACCGGAGGAATTCGAAAAAGCCGGCTTTTCGTTTTCGCGCGGAAAATATTTTGAAAACGAAGCTTTTCGAAAACGATGACGTCATGATAGTCGTATGATTTCCCCGACCGAGTTTTCCTCAAACACAGATCCAAAATGACCGGTGATTGTTGCGTTTTTAAATTCCTCCGGCGTAGTGTGGACGGAAAACTTTTGATGCGTTTTTCAAATTCCTCCGTGTGGACGGAAAACAGTTGATGCTTTCTCAGAGTGAAACCTCCGTTTTCAAACCCCTCCGGCGTAGTGAGTACGGAAAACATTTGACGCGTTTTGAGAGTGAAATCTCTGATTTCAAATACCTCTGGCGTGGTGTGGGCAGGCCCTTAGTAATCAATGACCCGTCAATGGCTCACCTCCACTTCCAGGATGTTCAGAATTGTAATCCCAAGTGAATCAGCTTCTTTCTTTTCTTCCTCCGTCACAGGTCCATCCATCTTGACGATTCTTTTTAACTTCTCACATTGCTTGGCATTGTCGAATAGAAATCGGAGTTTGCTGCCATTACATATGATTGTCTCAATGTCGGCTACAAATATAAGAATCAACCTCAAAATGAAATCCAATTTTCTTGGCTGAAATAAAAGTTCTTAGACTAAAAATCACTCCGCACTGAAAGGTTTTGACTTTTTTTAAGCTTTACTTTATGAACTATGTACAGTCAACTCTCGTTATAGCACACATTCTCGGGACCGTCCTTTAGTGTCCGTAATGGAGAGAGTCGGCCAAAGTGGGGTCAGTCTAATTAATGAAAATGACCCAATTTCTGGTTGTAAACTGTCACAAATAACGTATACTATTATACTCTTATAAGATTCCCAGTTCCTTTTAATTCTTAGTACACGTCTACTTTGACACATAATCATCTAATACAGGCCCAAATAATGCACGAATTAGTAAACATTCCAAGACACAAGAATAATTGGGCCATTCAGTACGTCCAAGTTGTCTTTCGTAACGAGAGAAGAACAATAAAAATAATTCTTTGAGACCACATGAGTTCGGCTATTCCGTAATAGCTGGCATCCACAATAGCGGTAGTTGTTTCCATATACATTTTTCGGCAGTTTTGGCCGGGGCTTAGCTCTTGCCTGCGATAGTAAGGTGTTCGCAAGGCGAGACTGGTAACCCAAACCCAACACTAGCGCACTGGTTCTTCATGAATCTTACCATGGTTTATGATATAAATACATCCTTCGGCTCCGTGTGTGTCGTAAATTGGCACAGAAATCATGGAATGCATCTGACAGGCGAGGTCAGCTAGATCCCACTGAAAATAAGAACAAATCTAAAGTCACCTAGTGTTGTGTTATTTGAAGAATAAATTGAAGACGAGTTGGAGATGAGAGGGAATACAGGGAATGGGTGACCCCGGGGTCATATAATGTGGGGGAAGCCCGGGTGACGTGGTCTTACAAAACAGATTTAAAATCACAATCCCGGTCTCACAAGGGCGAGACAACTCATGCAAAAACGCATTACCACTCGGGCCAGTGCATCAGTATGAGATGCTAGTCCCGCCCGGGGGCGGGGGGTGGGGGGGAATCCCATATAAGAAGGATAGGGGTGCTTGTCGTACATCTTAGGGGTTTCAAAAGCGGTTTTGGTACCTCCCAGGGTGTTAAGAGGGGCTTTTGCGGTACCTTGTAGGGTATTGAGCCGAAAAAAACATGAGATAGTGTGTTATTTTAGAATTGGTACTTCTTAGGGGTGAAAATAAATTCAAAACAGCCCACAAAACAGGATCTGGGTATCTCTTAGGGGTTCTTTTCAAATTTATGACGAACACCCCTCTCCTTTTTATATGGAACTCCCCCCCGGATTGCTAGTCCACTGTAAGCTAGGTAACTTAGGTTAGTCTCCAGCATATCAGTTTTCCCCAACGGGTTGTCAGTTCGGAGTTTTTTTTTTTAATTCTTCTTACCTCGACACAGTTGGGTCCGTAGATTCCAATGAACGTATTTTGAGAAGGTTGACAACCAAGGTGCACTAAGCCCGAACCAAGATTAGTGGAGCGTTCGTTTACCTACAACAAACAAATAAACAAGTGAGAGAGTATTCTAGAAAGCGAATACCTTCGTTTTATTGGACAAGCTAAAGCTGAAGTTATCAAAAAAATGTTACCTCTCCGTATGTGATCCATTGATATTTGTTGTCAGG